AACAGCCTAGGTTGGGGGTGGGGGTGGGCAGGTAGGGTTCAGAGAGCTGGGGAGGGGGACAAGGTCATGGTGCAGCCCCAGGGAAAGGAACCCAGGCCTGAGACTCAGTGGAACCACAGATTCCAGCCCTGGGTTTCTGAGAACTCCCGCTCAGAGGGAGTGGGGTAGACTCACAGGAGCAGGAACCAGTGAGAGGTGGCTTTTTCCTCTGCCTCTCGGGCTTTCGGGATCACACAGAAAAGGACAGAGAGATCGCCCAGTGAGTAGGATGCTGGCCCAGTCACAGAGGTGGGAGTGGGCTAGGGTCTGGGGAAAGCAAGCTGCCCACCCGCTGATGCACCAGGCTCGTGTGTTCCAGGTGTGTGGGAAGTCCTTCAACCGCATGTACAACCTACTGGGCCACATGCACCTGCACGCGGGCAGCAAGCCCTTCAAGTGCCCCTACTGCTCCAGCAAGTTCAACCTCAAGGGCAACCTGAGCCGGCACATGAAGGTCAAGCATGGCGTCATGGACATCGGCCTGGACAGCCAAGGTGGGTGGGCCACGTGCAATGGACAGAGCAGGAACAAGACCACCTTGGCACACTCAGCCCCCTGTCCAGTTAGGGGAGCAGGGAGGCTGGCCAAGGCTGAGACCTCACTGGGGTGGGCTCAGGTCTGGGAAGGGGGAGACGCTGGAGGGTTATGATGGCGATAATTATGGGATATTTGTGCCTTCTTCAAGAGACATAAATGGGCTCACCTAAACAATAATAATAAAAATCATAACTAACATTTATTGAGTGCTAACTGTGTGCCAGGCCTTTATTAACTCACGGAGTCCTTGAAGCCAGGTTGGCTCTGTTATTGTCCTCGTTTTACAGATACAGAAACTGAAGGACAGGGAAGTCAGGTAACTCATGCTGGATCACAACACAGCAGGAGGTGATAGACACTTTATCTCATTTCCTTGACGTGACATTTAAAATAAGTAGATAAGAAAGTAACAACAGAGAAAAAAAGATGAGAGAGCCAGGTGAGGTGCAACTCCAGGTATCCCAGCGGAGGTGCTGTGGACTTGGAGAGGAAAGTTCTGAGCTTCCCAGCAGCCAAGGCCAAGAGTGATACACAGTCAGTCATACTCTTCACAGTGCCTGCCAAAGAGAACGTAACCCATGAAGTCAGGAGAAGGCACCTGGTCCTGCTATTAAGATCTGGGAGAGGTCAGGCATGGTAGCTTACGCCTATAATCCCAGCACTTTGGGAGGCCAAGGCCAGGAGTTTGAGACCAGCCTGGGCAACATAGTGAGGTCCCTGTCTCTACTAAAAATAAATTAGCCAGACATAAGAGCAAGTGTCTGTAATCCCAGCTACTTGGGAAGCTGAGGCAGGAGGATTGCTTGAGCCCAGGAGTTTGAGGTTACAGTGAGCTATGATCGCACCACTGCATTCCAGCCTGGACAACAGAGTGGGACCTTCTATCAAAAAAATAAATAAAAATATCTGCGAGAATCTGGGTGCAGTCGCTCACGCCTGTAATGCCAGCAATTTGGGAGGTGGAGGTGAGAGGACTGCCTGAATCTAAGGGTTTGAGACCAGCCTGGGCAACTTGGTGAGACCTTGTCTCTACAATAAATCAAAAAATTAGTCAGGCATGGTGCATGCCTGTAGTCCCAGCTACTTGGAAGGCTGAGGCAGAAGGATCGCCTGAGCCCAGCAGGCCGAGGCTGTGGTGGCTGTGAGTGTGCCAGTGTACTGCAGCCTAGTCAACAGAGTGAGACTCCTACTTAAAAAAAAAAAAAAAAAAAGCCAGGCGCAGTGGCTCACACCTATAATCCCAGCACTTTGGGAGGCAGAGGCAAGAGGATTGCCTAAGTCCAAGGGTTCAAGACCAGCCTGAGCAAACTTGGTGAGACTTCGTCTGTACCATGAATCAAAAAATTAGCTGGGTGTGGCTGTGCGTGCCTGTGGTTCCAGCTACTTGGAAGGCTGAGGTGGAAGGATCGGCTGAGCACAGCAGTTTGAGGCTGCTGTGGCTGTGAGCATGCTACTGCTCTCCAGCCTGGGCCACAGAGTGAGACTCCAACTCAAAAAGAAAAAGAAAAACACTTCTGTCAGCCCTGGCAGAACTGACTGTTAGTCTCCCTGCTCCACTGTGGATGGGTGGTGCTTGAGAGAGTCTGCAGGAAGGATGGAGCTCCTTCTACAGTCTGGAGCTCTTTCGCTGCTCCTTCTGAGACACACTACCTGGGAACGCACCCGGACAGCAGTAAGGCAAGTTGACTTGCCATGTGGGATCATTTACTAGAAACCAGTCAGGTGTTGGGGACGACTGCAATAGCCTTGACTTTGGTTTTGGAGCAGCTGACCAATGAATGGCCTGGGTGTTCCTGCAGAAGCTGGTTTCTCAGCTGTGTTTTGTTTTTCAGTTGACTGTTAAGGCTGCTTCCAGTAGATCAGAATGAAACCCCGTTGTCTGCTCTCTATAGCCTCTTGCTACTTACACTGTAGGAGGAGGACCGGCAACACCGGCAGCACCTGGGGTCTCATCGACTTCTCAGCCCCATCCCAGTCCTGCTGAGTCAGAATCTGCATTTTATTTTTTATTTATTTATTTTTTTAAGTTGGAGTCTCACTCTGTCGCCCAGACTGGAGTGCAGTGGCCGCTCCCAGCCACCGCAACCTCGACCTGCTGGGCTCCGGCGATCCTTCCGCCTCAGCCTTCTGAGTAGCCGGAACTACAGGCGCGCGCTAGCACGCCCGGCTGATTTTTTTTGATTTATTGTAGAGATGAGGTCTTGCTGCCCAGGTGGGTCTCGAACCTGCGGGCTCAGGCAATCCACTCACCTCAGCCTCCCAAAGGCGCGGGATTACAGGCTGAGCCACCGAGCCCGGCTTGGCTAGAATCTGCATTTTAAAAGATCCCCCGGCATTTGTTGCGCAGTAAAGTTGCACAGAGAAGCTGAACTCAGAAGTGCCTCAGAATCCCCCAGGGGGCTTGTGGAAGCAAGGCCGCATCCCCAGAGTTTCTGATTCAGTAGGTCTGGGGTGGGGTCTGAGAATTTGCAGTTCCAGTGAGTTCCCAGGTCTTACCAAAGGCACTGGTTCAGGGATTCCACCTTGATGATCTTTGATCTAGACCCTAGATCAGGCTCTCAAATTGGCTGGGCGTTGGGATCAGCTGAGGAATTTTATTTATTTATTTATTTTGAGTCTCTGTCGCCTGGGCTGGAGTGCAGTGGCACGCTCACAGCTACCGCAGCTTCTACCTGCTGGGTTTAGGCGATCCTTCCACCTCAGCCTTCCAAGTAGCTGGAACTACAGGCGTGTGTACCACCATGCCCGGCTAACTTTTTTTTTTTTTTTTTGATTGTAGAGACGAGGTCTCGCCAAGTTGCCCAGGCTGGTCTCGAACTCCTGGGCTCAGGCAATCCTCTCGCCTCCACCTCCCAAAGTGCTGGGATAACAGGCATGAGCCACGGCGCCTGGCCTAGGAATTTTAAAAATACTGATGTGGACCCAAAATCTGAATGTAAGTGATCTGGGAAGTGGCCCAGGAGCCAGATGTTTTGAGCACTTTGGGTGAGTCCATGTGCATAGACTTCAAGAGCTGCTGTTCTAGTGGGCCTGCCATGTAGTTAGCACACAGGAGGGACTGGTGCAGAGCTTGCCCTTGGGAAATAAAGCCTAGACCCTCTTTAGAGTTGGCTGATTCAGTTCTTCTGTCCACAGCATTAACTGGGACTATCCTCGTGGTCACAAGATGGCTGCCAGTGGCTGTCAGGGCAGTGTGATTCCTTGTTCACATCCAGTGGAAGAGAGGGAGCCTGCTCCCCTTAGATCTTTGACACCAATGAGAATGTGCTAAGAACTTACTAGCAGGCCTTTCCTCCTGATTCACTGGTCAGAATTGGGTCACATGCCCATTCCTGAGCCTCTCATTGCGGCAAGGGATGGGATTACTCTTATACCAGTGGTTCTCAGCTGGGTGTGAGCTTTTCCCCGGGTGACATCTGGCCATGTCTGGAGACGTTTTTAGTTGTCACAACTGGGGTGATGCTAAATGGCATCTAGAGGGTAGAGACCAGAGATGTTGTTGAACATCCTCCAATGTATAGGACGGCCCCCACAACAGAGAATTATGGCCCAAATGTCCATAGTGCCAAGGTTGAAAAAGCCTGCCTTAGGCTTCTCAGGGCTACCCCTGGGGCTGGGGTCTGTTTGCCCCGAAAACATACGACATATCAGTGGACAGAACCAGGATGCACTTTGGGGATCGGCTGCTGTCCCTGCCAGCCAACCTCTCATACTCTGGGCCTCTCTGGAGTTATTTTATCTGGCTTTCGTTACAACAGTAAGAGCTCTATAATAAGATTGCAATTTGAGGACATTACAAGAGGCCTCTGAAGAGTGTATGGACCTGCCTGGGGTGTGTGTTTATCTTTGGAGAGCCAGGCCCCCAAGACACCATGGGGCAGAACTGGTGGGAAGCAGGAATGCAGGTAGGAGACACAGGAGAAAGGGCTCCCTTCCGCAATTCGAGGCAGAGCAACAGTGGTTCAAAACAACAGCTCTTGCTGAGTGATCTTTGGAAACTGATTAACCTCTCTGAGCCTCGGCCTAGTGATCTGCTAAATGGCTTGTTGTGGACATTTGATGAGATGACATATGTGGAGTGCCTGGCACGCAGCAGGCACTGGATGGGTGGTGTTGTGGAGACGTGACACAGTACAGCCGGCTTTCACGAGGCAAGGGGAGCTCGGGAAGCACCGAGGAGAGGGAATAAGTAGGGCATCATGTCTTGGAAGGACATGGAGGCATTTCCCAGAGAAGACTCCAGGTCTGCAGGCCGTCTGCAGGCCTCCGCCATGAGGCCCTCGCTTATCAGCACCTGCCCCCACACCCCCATGGCTTTTGGGCCTACTGGCCTAGGTCTGGTGACTTGTCTGAGAAGCCAAGAAGCCTGAGGCATCCTGGGGTAGAAAGGATGAGAAGCTGCTGAGAATCCTCTGGGACCAATGATAGGGAAGTCCTTGTGTTGGAAAGGCCACGAGCTGTCACTGCCTTGCTAAGCTATGTCTGTCCCTGTGTTCTTTGCGCTCTGGTCAAGCCAAGTTTCCTAACTTTGGCCCCTCCCCCTACCTTGGGGAGGTGAATCTCTCTCTCTCTCTCTCTCATTTACTTTCTAAATAAACTATATTTTCTAATCTAAAAAAAAAGGCCATGGGCTTCCTGCATGGGGTAACCAGCTCCTCCCAAGAGGCGGCACTCAGGCCTAAACATGCCCCTCTCTTGCAGACCCCATGATGGAGCTGACAGGCACTGACCCCTCTGAGCTCGACGGCCAGCAGGAGATGGAGGACTTCGAGGAGAACGCCTACACCTACACGGGCGTGGACAGCGGTGCCGAGGCCAATGTCCTCACCGAGCAGGCCATGAAGGAGATGGCCTACTACAACGTGCTATAGCGCAAGCCGGGCTACCCCGGAGTGGAGCTGGGGGGGCTGGGGCGTGGGGGTGAGACCCACGGGCTGCGGGCTGCACCTCCTGCGGCCGAGACACAAGCTACTGCCCCACTGTCCTGAGCCCGCCCTCCCGAGTCATTTGCACCACTAGGGACCTTTAGACCAAATGAAGACTGTACTGCTGGCCTCGCTGTGAGCCAGGCACAGGCCCGGGCACCCTGGAAAGGGAAAGATTACAAGAGAGGCCCAGGCCTGGGTCTCCTTGGCCTGCTATAGTGGGAGGGTGGGGGAAATGGGGCCACTGGGGAAGGCACAAAGGCACAGGCTCTCGGGGTCTTTCCAGGCCCAGCAGAGTTTTTCAGGGGTCCTGACACTGGAGGAAGAGATCCCTTGAGCCATGCCTCGTTTCTCTTCTCGGTCAGCTCCTGTCTCGAGGGATGACTGAGCTCCCCTCTGGTCAGCACTGCCCACCCTCACCTGCCCAGACCCCCCGTCGACAGCCAGCCAGGCAGGGCACTCTGCCTTCTACCTCCTGGTGCCTCCCATGTGCTCCTCCAGCCAGGCGTGCATGCAGCCCCCACGCGGCCTATGGGACAGCGGGGGGCCCAGCCCCCAGCAAACGCCCTCCCCGGCCGGCTCCCCAAAGGCCCTGTCCGACGGCCCTCTTCGGAAGTGGGTGTCCCTGAAGTGCCATGCAGTTCTGTCCTGAGCCAGAGCACCACACCGGGGTCTCCACACGAACAAGGCATCAGACACGCACTAACAGAGACACATGCGAGGGGCAGGGTGGGATGCGGGCACAGTGGGGACCAGAAGGCGCTGTCCTCAGGGGAGGCCAAGGACCATGGGGGGGGACTAAACTGTTTCTTATTCCTAAGTATCCACTCTGAGGATGGGGATGGCCCCTGCTGTGCACTCCCAGGACACAGCAACGTATTTAAAGAGGAAAGCGAAGACTCTAGATGGAAAGCAACTTTTTTTGAGCAAATGGGGGTATTTTGAAGGTAATTTATTCTTTTTTTTCTTTCCAACTCTGTGTCACCTCTGATCTTTTTTGGTGGAGATACGTTTTCTTTTTCCGAACGTGAGCTTTCTCTTGTGCTGCGCTTCGTGCCTCCCCGACCCAGGGCAGCCTGGCAGCAGGACTTGCTTCATGGGACGTGGCTCTCGCCCAGGGGGGCAGCCGCGGGTGGAAGGCCAGGGTGGGAGGCAGGGGAAGGCAGAGCCGAGCAGCCCTCCACCCCGTGCCGGGCCCCTGTGCCACGCCTCCGCCCATGGCCGCGGGCTGCTGCCTCTGCTCGGCCCCCAGCCAGCTCCTGCCCCTGGAACCGAAGACTGCAGGACTGGAGCAACGAAACAGCACATTCAGGAACTCGAGGGCACCCACCCACTCACCCCTGAGGCCTTGGCAGGGAGGGGCAGGCAGGGCCCTTGTCCCCAAGGGCACAGACGAAGCCAGCAGCTTCAGCCCAGGAACCAGGAGGGGGAAACAGCCGGGGTGGGGAGAGCCAATGTGAAATGCAGCCAGCCCTGGGGCTATATCCTCAAGTGAAGGACCAAGCCAGGCCTCAGGGTGACTGATCAGGACTGAGGGGTGGACAAGGTGGCCCCAGGTGGCTCCCAGACTCCGAGGCCCCTCGGCCTCCCAGGTGCCCGCCATGATGACCCTCAGGTGGCAGTGACCCCGTCACTGTACAAGACATTTTCTCCTGCTGAGCAGAAGGCATCATCCCCTGCAAACTACCTCTTCCCACGACGTCTTTCTCCCCTGGTACCAAAAAGAACCCTGTACCTCCTCCTCCTCTCTCCTGCCAGCGCAGTGGCCTTGGTCTTGGAAACCGAAGGGAGAAGGTCTGGCCCCGGGGTGGGGGGCTCTCCTCTCCTCCCCCAGCCCCGCCATCAGCACTGGCCCTCCGTGAGGTTCGATACTTGAACGCCCCTGCCCTGTGCCTTGGACCTGGGCGAAGCTAAGAGGAGGGAACAGCACAACTCACAGCTTGAGCCGGGGGGTGGTCTTGGCAAGGCTCCTGTCCCCACCCCTCCCCAGCCTTCTCAAGAGAGGCGTGCCGCCTCCCGGGTGACTTGGAAACTCCTGGACGAATTCCATTCTAACTTATTTTGACGTGTATACAAACCAACTGTTTAGAGATTCCACTTGTGCAAAGCCCTACTGTGTTTTTATGTTCCTGTTTAAAAGAGAAGTTTACTTAGCAATAATTATAAATAAATGAATATTCTTTAGTGAGGTGACTGCCGATGCTTCTTTCCCCAGCTCTCAGGGACCCGGCCCTCACACCTCCCCCAGAAGGAATGCCCAGCAAGGCCCCGCGTGGCAGGGCGTCCCTTCCCAGGAGCCTGTGGTGGCTGAGACCGTCCACTGCACTGCAATGGCCACCTGCAGGGCCAGGTGCCCGCAACCGGCAGCCCCGGGCCCAAGAGAGGGGTGTGGGCCGAGGCACCAGAATTCCCACCACTTGCAGAGAAAAGCCGCTCCCACCCACATGGCCCAGGACAGAAGCCAGCTCCCAGTGCCAGGCTGGCTGCAGAGGCGGCATCCTGGGGGAGCTGCCAGCCCCTTGCTAATGACAGGCGAGAGGCAGAGGGCTCCGAGCTTCCTCCCAGGAGCGAGGCCTGCCAGAGCCAGCACTCCTGCGGAAGAAGAGGGGGCTGCCAGTGTGGGGGTGGGCTGGAGTCCGTCCCAGAGCCACTGAGGCATGCACAGCCCCAGGAGTCTCTCCAGAACTTAGAGAAAGAACTTTGAAAAGATTATACAACTCTCCCCTGGGACATCCTATGTTTTGTTTGGTTTTGTTTTTTTGAGTCGGCGTCTCACACTGTCACCCAGGCTAGAGTGCAGTGGTACAATCACAGTTCACCCTAGTCTCAGCCTTCTGGGCTCAGGCCATCCTGCTTCAGCCTCCCGAGTAGCTGTCAGGACATTTTAATACCAAAAAGTAGATATTCATTAGGTAGAGACAGTCCTTTAAACGTATCATATGCCAGACATGGTGGCTCACACCTGTAATCCCAGCATTTCGGGAGGCAGAGGCAAGAGGATTGTCTGAGCTCAAAAGTTTGAGACCAGCCCAAGCAACTTGGTGAGACCACGTCTCTACAATAAATTTTTTTTTTAATTTAGCCAGGCGTGGTGGTGCACGCCTGTAGTTTCAGCTACTTGGAAGGCTGAGGTGGAAGAATCACCTGAGCCCAGCAGGTCAAGGCTAGGGTGGCTGTGAGTGTGCCACTGCACTCCAGCCTGAGCAACAACAACTACAAAAAAAGCCGGACTCGGTGGCTCAGCCTGTAATCCCAGTGCTTTGGGAGGCTGAGGTGAGTGGATTGCCTGAGCCAGCGGGTTCGAGACTTGCCTGGGCAACTTGGCAAGACCTCATCTCTACAATAAATAAAAAATCAGCCGGGCGTGGTAGCGCGCGCCTGTAGTTCCATCTACTTGGAAGGCTGAGG